GGGGGAGGGGGGGAGGGTGCTGGGCTTTCCTAAGCTACTTGGCTAGAGGCAGGAATTCTCAGCCTTCCTTTCTTCCATTCTTCCCTTCCTCCATCCCTCCCTCCCTCCTTCCCTTCCTTCCATAAACTTTTTATTTTAAGACAAGTGTAGGTTCACATGCAGTGGTAAGAAATAATACAGAGATTCCCTCTACCCTTTACCTGGCTTCTCCCCATGGTAATGTCTTGGAAAACAGTAGAACAGGATCACAATAGGGACATTGGCATAAACATCCAAGACACAGAACAATTCCATTACCACAGGATTCCTCCTGTTGCCTTTTAATAACCATACTCCTTCCTCTCCCAGCTTATGCTTTTGAAGAACACTTTAATGGCAGTGGTAAAGCAGTTTGATGGGCATGAATGTTCATCTTTGCTACGATGTTTAACACCCGGAAGTCAGTCTGACAGATGAGTGCTCTCTCTCTTTTCCTGGCACATTTCCATCTCTGCTGTGCTTTTTTCCCCAGGGAGATTATTCTGTATTTCTTTCCTGAGTACCAGCTACCATCGGAAATTGGCTACTCATCTGTGGAGGAATTTGTGGCAAGCTCAGAGGTAAGCCGGCTTTTGTGGAACTCTGAGGAAATGACAGAAGGGCCTGAATTTGGTTTTCAGTGAAGAAAAATGTGAAGTGTTCCCAGGAAGAGGAACTAAGTGAAGGAAAATGAGGATCTTTATACCAAATGGGTGGCTCAGAATTAAAACCATTGTGGCCAAGGGTTAAATAAGCTTCAGTAAGATCTTGCTGACTGAGAACAGTTGGTTGCAGAGATAAATGGAAATGAGACATAGTCCGACTTCCCTCCCTTGCATCAAGAATAGAATTTCTGTCTCTCAGATACACTTCGTCAGCCACCTTAGTGTCTTATTAGAGTCACTGAGACTTCACCCGGAAAGATGAAGATAGTTGCATTTATCAAATCTATTCTCAGAGACAGACTGTATATGAAGGAAAGGAAAACTTTCCTCAGCTACCTGGGTGGACAGGCAGAGGCTCGCACTGTCTCACAGTGGGTGTCCTCACGCTGCCCAGTCGCCCCAGGCCATGGTGAAGCTCAGTGAGGAGTGCAGGCCCACAGCTCAGAGTGCTCCGTGTGGAGAAGGGCCAGCGTGGTGCAGAGGGTGGGGGTGTCTTCCCACCCTCATGCTCAGTGTGATTTCTGGGAAGGATGGGTACATGTGGAAAGACTGTCAGTGAAAAGAGCACCAGTTTATTCATTTGGCCAAAGTGCCAGGTGCTTTAATTTGATCCTGGGTGAAGTCCTCAGTCCTCTCATCTATAATCACTGTCTTTGCTTCTTCACCCTGTGCTCTCCCCTCATGGTCTCCCGTCCTACTTCTGGCTCCACACTTCACTGCGGCTGTCCTGCGAGGCCACCCGTGACCACTGTGCTGACATGTAGTGGTCACTTACTTACCGACAGCTCAGGTCTTCAATACAGTGGACCACTTTTTCCTGCTTTGAAGCATTTTCTTTTTGTAGCTTTCATAACAGCACTCCTCTCATTTTCTTGCTTTCCCCCTGTGTTTGCTGGCAGCTCCTTCTCTATTTGGTCTCTAAATGTTGGCCTGTCTGAGGACTCATTTCTGGAACACCTCCTTCTGTCTATGGAATGGGTTTCTAGGTGACCTCAACTAGTCTCTGGCTTCAAATCTCACCCCATATGCCAGAGATTCCCCCACCCCTGTCTATTTCTGGGTGTTCCCATCTAAGAAATCCAGGCTCCAACTATCTTACTGATATCGCTTTGAATATTTATTGTTTATCATTTACTTTTCCTTGACCTTGATTATGTTCTTTGTAATCTTTTTAACCATGCTGTATTAATTATGTGAATTGCCTTAATCATTTTTTGGAATGAGGTAAGGTATATCTTAGTGAATTAATTTAATTAGACCCAGGCTTAAAAGACCCACTGTATTGGTGTTGGCCAGTTCCAGGCTTTGATGTTTCTTGTATACTAGATATTGCATGTTGTAACTGCTGTAGACAGCTGATTCTCTAAAAGTTAATATCCTGTTTTATTATAATTTATGAAAACAGCTGGAGCAGTGCACAGAGCAGACAAACAGAAAGCTGAAAATGTGTTTCCAGCAGGTAAGCTTCCTTTCAGTGTAGTCGTTTATATTCTACATGATCCTGTATTCCAAAGGAGAAATAATATACATTTCCAAATGCTCTGTTTGGAAGGAAATCAAATTTGCCTTCACTTATCAAGACATAGAATTTTGAATTTTAAAATGCAAATGTTTCCACAGCATAAAGCTTATGAAATGTTTGGAGTAGGATTGTCATTTGTACTAGAAACAAGACATTCTGAGTCTTTAAGAAAGATAGTCACTGACTAAGCCAGAAATTGATCATAGGTTAAAGTTTTAATTACAGTTAAGTCCTCTCTTAACTTCGTAGATAGGTTCTTGACTTTAATGAAATGCTGTAGGCTATTGATATAAACAAGAGTGAAGTTCCTGTGGGATCTCATCTATGTTATAATGAAACAATGTTGAACAAACCTACCATAGTTGAGGGCCTGCTGTACTCTGGACAAGTTCATATTTCCCTGGCTTTGTTTGTTTAGTATCTTATCAACAGTTTTTAAAGTTTATGATTTTTTTCATTATAAAAATAGAAAAATAATTAATGCTACTAAAAGAAAGTAAAAGAAATAAAAAAATCATTCATAATTCCACACCATTCCAAGATCACTGCTATTACTATCAGTTACTATTTTGGTATATTTTGTTACAACTAATCTCTCTCTCTCTCTCTCTCTCTCTCTCTCTCTTTCTCTCTCTTTCTCTCTCTCTCTCTCTCTCTCTCTCTCTCCTCTGTATATGTTTTCAATAATACTGTGTATCTAGGTCTTACAGATTTCCTGGGGGAGGGGGATAGAAAGAGACCATAGAGTCATTCAGTTCTATTAGAGAAATATCTAAAAAAAATGATATGCCTCAACTCCCTTAATTCACACTCAAGGGAACAGAGACTCCAAAATGAAAACTCCAACCCTAATCCCCAAGTAGAAAAAGGGAGTGAGTGGTGGAGCCAAGACAACCAGAGGTTCACAGATTCCTCAGAGACCACAACAGTCTCTAGAACTTTTCATGACACCAAGATCAATGTTGAGATGTTACTCTTCACTGACACTTAGGTTTGCTCAAACAGGTACATCAGCTCCATCATTAGCAAATATACTAGCATCTTCTTCCATCTGCTAATGCTATTAAAGAGGAAACCACAGGCTCAAAATAGCATCACTTGTGTTAAAGCCCACGATACCAAACCTAGATTTAATATGTGACCTAATTTCTGTTTTAGCCTCTCCCTGGAAATGTATTCTAAATCAACCAACCTGGAATTTTGTGGTCAATACCAATGAAGGAATTTGTCTTATGGGCTCTCCTCATCCCCCATATGAAAAAAAAAAAAAGGCAATCTGCATAATAAAAACCCTGTTCCCTTCCCCCACAAAAGATACCTTAGTCTAAAAATAATCTTTTCTTTTGTTAGTAGCTGTCTTGCCCCACCCTTCTTTCTATAAAAGCCTTCTATTTTGTCCAAACCCTTGGAGAGCCCTTCTTGTTACTAAAGGGGATGCTGCCCAAATAATGAATTGCTTAATAAAGCCAATTAGATCTTCAAATTTACTGTTAAATTTTGTTTTGTTTTGTTTTTTTAACAATGCTTACAGCCATCTTCTGAGAAATTATCATAACAACATGCAAATCTTTCAAGACTAGGAGGTGAATGGTATCCCCTGAAGTTATGCAAAGCACAACTATAAGCAGAGGCATTGCCTCATCCCTTTAGTAAGAAATAGAGTACATTTGAATAATCTGGTTTTATACAAGAAATGGAATTGTGAAGTAAGTTCCCAAAGACATATAACTAGGCAACCTTGAAATGAAAATTAGAACCTAAACCAGATTTCTTTTTAGAAAGGCTGTATTTGAATTTTAGGGTGTGCCTAAATTTAACATCCTGGTTGATATATTTGCCTCTGATGTTTCTGATTGAGTGTCTACTGGACTGTGATAGGCACAAATGAAGGTGTGTTGTAGGTCTTAGTTTCTCATCATCGGTCAACTGAAAATTAGTTTATTTTCTAAATAATGTCTTGTTGAAAAAGCAGTAATTGAACATTTTCTGCTTGAAGACTTAATTATCGACATTTCCAAACTAGAATAGAGTAAAAGATTGTTTCCTTTTAATATATTTTACCCCGTGTTAACACTATATTACTATCATTAATGAATATAAAACTGTGATTGATCAAGAGCTACTAGAGCCAGATACTGAACCTGGCCTTTTACTAGTACATACATTATTACTTCATCTAACTCTCACAACAACTTTGGGAGGTGGATGCCACTATCTCCATGTTAAGTGGAGAGTCAGAAAGATAAAATTCCAATGTCACAATGCAAGTAGCAGATTTAGGGCTGGAACCCAGATTTGTCCCACTTCAAACCTCTTTTTACTATAATGCTTTCTCCCATCTCATTCTTATCCAGATGGTAGTACTTCAGCCTTGTGATAGAGTTTGCAGTATTACTAACAATAGATATACTACATCCTCTCAGCCTGTTGGTATAAAAAAATATTGTTTACTTACTAGACTCCTTGACATCACATGATGAGATGTATACGGGGGAGATGACAGTGAAGTGTTGGAGGCGGAGTGTATGTGCACGTGTAGGCAGATTTAGTGTTCCATCAAGAAATGTCCCAATGAAAGTCTGTGGCAGCCACTTGAAGAACGCCCAGTAAGTCTCCTAGATCTTCCCGCAGATCTTCATCTGCTGGTTAGGAAACTCTTATTTAAATAGTTACACTGTAAAATTTAGAAATTTGCTAAGAATTAGATTGTCATACATCTCAGGTTATCCAAGCTTCTATATGTCATTCATGTCTATTTTTAAATAAATTTTTAGTAATGGATCCAAGTGGTTGGATCTTGGAGACCAGACTGAGTAAGAGAAGTGTTTATTCAAGGTGAACTGTACTAGCAGAGGTGATGAATAGAATCCCCTTAAGGTTCAGGGCAGGTGGAATTCGAAGACCCAAAGCAAAATAAGTAGTCAGGAGACCATGCATTCCCGTTGAAACAGAGATGTTTCAAGCAAAACAGAGAACAGTTAGAATCCCGACTTCCCCAATGTGACTGCTTGGTCCTAAGGACTTTGTTACTGATTGTTAGCTTTAGGTGGTAGTTATAAAAATCTGCTGCATTTATTTCTTGAAGTCCATGTAGAAGACAAATCCAAGTTGCTTTAAAGTGTGTACTTTTAATGAAGAGAGCCACATCCAACCCAGGAGGACCCTTGGTCACTCACAGACTTCTTTGGTCGCCTCGCCCTGACATCAGTGGTCTTCATAACTACTGTGGGAGCAGTCAGTGAGCCATGACAGCATTGGTGGTCCTCCCCAACCTGAGCTGAACTGTCACAGGCAGCCCAGGGACCCCAAAATGATGTTATTGGACAGTCTCCTGAGTCGGAGGGAGGGGCTGTCCCCACCTTAGATTTTTGTCAGTTTCGAAAGAATGAGTGACCCTGATTGCATTGTGATAAAGCCAATTTATTAAAGCAAGCAAATTCATTAAAGAAGCGAAGGCAAGCAAGTCTCCTTCATCCGGCTCAGATCATGGATGGGCATCACTCAGCTAATCTGAGGAGCCCATTGGGTGGGGGTTTGAGGCATTAAATAACCTCCTGTCTATAGGTTTCAAACTTCCTCTGTTGAATATCTTGTTACAGGTTCATTTTCAAGGTCCCTCTTTTTTTTTTTTTTAATATATTTTATTGAGTTTTTACAGAGAGGAAAGGAGAGAGATAGAGAGTTAGAAACATCGATGAGAGAGAAACATCGACCAGCTGCCTCCTGCACACTCCCCACTGGGGATATGCCTGCAACCAAGGTACATGCCCTTGACTGGAATCGAACCTGGGACCCTTCAGTCCACAGGCCGATGCTCTATCCACTGAGCCAAACCGGCTTCGGCTTCAAGGTCCCTCTTTATTTTGCTGTGGCCTTCTCAGAATTCATGAGAAGCACCTGGCAGTTATATCTTGCCAAGCCTTGAGACTGCTGGCTCCTCTACTCTGGGAGTTAAAAATCAAAACAAAAACGAAACTGTCCTTTCTTTCCTTTCCCCTTCCTCCAAAGGGCTGACTTCTTTGTTTGGTGGTTGAGAATGATTCCTCCCTTCTCTCCGCTTTTCTTCATTCTTTAGTTAGGTAATCATATAAGCATTTGCTCTGAAGCCTCCTTGGCTCTGGGAAGATACGGGCCTGTTATTTACAAGCTGGCTGCAAATTGCCACACTACTTGGTCTTGTTTTAATTTTATCTCAGTTTCCCTATTTCTCCAGCCCTGAAATTTTCCTAGCTTCTCACTGCCCTGTAACAGAGCCACCATCCTTTATTTTTTTCCTCTCACAAACCATCTGGTCCATCTAGATCGAAATTGCTCTAACCTACTAGAGTAGGCTGCCTCTGAGCCTTGCCCTATGCAGTACCCCAGAATACTCTTCTGTACTCTGCCAGTCCACAGTTAGCCTCTTGAAATCCTGCCCACCCCATGTAGGACCTGGTCAGTGTTGCCTTCTACATCAAGCCTTGCTCAGTCTCTCCAAGAGAAATTCATCTTGACTTTCTGTGCTCTGAGAGCCTTAAACTTTGATTTTAGCATTAACTTTTCTGCCTTATATTGTAGTAGTTTCTGGCATTTTAGTTTTTTCACGAACTAGATTATAGAATCTTTAAAATTAGCAATCCTCTCTCACCAAATCCTGTCTACTGATGGCATTCAATCAGTAACTTTGAATGCATCTGGGTCTTACTATTTGTGCATTGAATCTAAGTTTATTGCTTCTACTATAGAGCCTGCCTACATAAACACTCAAATGCATATCCCTGTAAGGTACAAAATCTATAGATCTTATAGGCCTGTCTTACTTTATGCAAACTCATTAGGTTTCTAGAACTTCAGAGCTCTGATTTTTTAAATTTGAGTCAGAAAATTAAAATCTCAGTTAAATATCCTTTCTTTCAAATCCTAATTCTGTTCTGAATTAATGTAGTTTGGGAAGCATTCCAGTTTTGATCTGCCACAGTTCCTCTGCAAGAGGAAGTTTATCCAGCAGAACTAAGCCTCTCATCTTGTTACAATTCTCTACTCACCTTAAAATGTTAGTACCACTGGAATTCCTGTTATATGAAACTATAAAATTTGTCAAAATTGCTACCTTTTATGGAAACCTCCTGGAAATGTTAGCCTAAGAAAGGCAGGAGAATAAATCAGGAAACAATAGGCTGGTGGTATTTGAAGGAGACATAGTTTGTTGGTTACAAGACAGTGAACTTTGAGAGATTACATATGACTTTGAATGTAAACATTCTTAATGTCATACCATATTAACAATGTTGTCTTTTGAACTTTTTATTTAAGTAATTACAGATACACAGAAATTTACAAAATAGTAGAGGTCCCTTGTACCCTTCACCCAGTGCTTATGTCCTCCTACATAAATATATAATTATATTACAATGTCAAAACCAGGACAATGAAATTGGTAAAATATGTGTCTCATTTTATCATATATGCAGATTTGTGTAACCACTAAAACCAGGATACAGAACTCCCATTGCCACAAAGATCTCCTTTATAGTCCTGCCTCCCATGCACAAATATGCCTAACTCCTGGCAGCCACCAATCTGTTCTCCATCTCCAAAACAGGATTTACCATGCATTTTATAGAAATAGAATCATACAGCATACGTTACATTATGATTGGCTTTAATCGCTCAGCATAATGCCCTTTAGGTCCATTTAAGTGTATCAATAGTGTGTTCCTTTTTGTTGCTGCTGTTTTTCTAAATAATGTTGTTTTGAATATTTTATCCTTTTTCTCAATTTTATTTGCTTTGTTGTTATTGCTTATATAAAAGAGTGTTTTGTGGCTATTGTTCAGCCTGACACAAGTTGTAAGATTCAGGAGTTCTGAAAACTAAAAAGCATAAAAAGCTGGTGACATCTGACCTATCAGACCTTGTCCCTATTCCAGCTGAATTGAATTATTTACCTTACTCCACCTTCAAACCCTGAGGATGTCACTCCTTGGGTTTGACTGAAGCCTCCATAGGAAGCATCTGTGAAACTTCCTGGAGGAGGTGTTGCTGCCTTAGTTGTAAGTCATCAACTTTGTGTAGTTTGAATTGAGGATGTTTGAAAGTAGATTCCCCTCCATGATCTCAGAATGTAGCCTAGATTCCAAAGAAAGATTGGCCCACGTGTCTGAAATCTCCTTACTGTGAAGACTACATATCTCCTCTCCTTACTCCCCAGTATTTAGGCCTCACTGAGTGGCAGGCATTGGAAATGCAGAGGTGAACAAAACCCTTTCTTTTTTTTTTACATTGAGGTAACATTCTAGAGAATGGGATAAACACATAAATAAAACATAGTGCAGAGTCACATAATGATAAACGCTAAACACATAAATAAATAAACATATAATGGGTATGCCATAAAATAACTGTGCAGGGCCGAGGATAGACAGTGATGGTGTGTGTTGGGAAAGGGAAGTTGTTCCCGGTGAGCACAGAATACCTGAGCCGCGTTTCAATACAGACCCGAGGCAAAGAGGGAGCCTTGTCTAAATCTGGGGTCAGACTTTCAAACAGGGAAAAATAGCAGAGGTGAAGGTCTGAGGCAAGAATGATCTTGGTGTATTCCTGGAACAAGGCCTAGAACTCAGGAAATAAGGTAAAAATAGGCAGAATTAGGTCAAGGCTTTCAGAGTCTAATTCCTGGTGTCTCACACAGGTTTCCAGGAAGTTTCAGACTCTAAAAATCTAGAATTTATTAATATGCCAATCTACAAACCTCACAAGCAAGTCTCACTTTAATACCTACTGTGCGTGTGCGAGTGTGTGTGTGTGTGTGTAGGGCCAATGTTTGCTACTATCGAGTGGTATTTGGGGTCTTGCTCCCAAATACTCTTCTCAGTTAATGGCACAAATAATTGGGGGGATTAGTTACCAACATAAACCTAAGGCAAGTATTTTAAGTAAGGATTTTATTGGAGAATCTACACCCTTTTCTCATCTCTAATATCTGTGCCTTACTTGGGGACATAATTGCACTTTCTCCCATAAGATTTAATATTTGCATTACTCACTCTGTGGACTAGAAGCTGCTTGAGGGCAAAGACTGAACCTTATGTGTCTTTGTGTTACCTATAATTAAATTCTATGCCTCAAATTTAGGAACTGGTTGGTGAGTGTCTATTAAACAGAACTTAATACACTTAGGAGTTTTTGTTTGTTTGTTTAAAGGACTTTTTAGAAAGAGAAAGAATTCATGATGAGGTCAGTGAGTGCAAAAGAGACCATGTGGACAATGTCTGGGAAGGGCCTGCACATATTATTGAGTGTAGTGGAGAAGGGGTGAAAGCGAAAGGGGAGACCCAGAAGACAAATAAAGCTACCTTGCAATTTTCCTGACAACCCAGTCATGTTAGTGCACAGAAATCTCATTAGAAAAACTTTCAAATGATGATCAAAACAGGATTTGCCTTGTGACTCTCTCTTTTCTCAGAATATCCCCTGGCCCTCTCAAAATGTTGACACAGAAATTAATGTCATTTTGAAATGGGAAGCATTTGGACTCTGCATTACCTATCTCTACTCTGTGAGTTCCCCTAGTGCAACACGAGCTTTTAGAAAACAACCGAGACACTTGAATGAGCAAAGGTCGTATGTGATAGTGTATGACTGTACTCTTTACCTCGGGGAAAGGGACCCAGAGAAAGCGACAGAACAGGAATTCTCTTACTGTAGCTGCTGTGCTTTTCAGATGCTACAGACTTGAGTTATAAATAACACATTATTATCTGCCATGAATGCCCTGAGTGGCTGGCCCTTCTGTCATTGTCTATGAGATATTGGATCAGTGGAGAGAGTTACAGGGACCTGTCCCCCTTGGTACCTTGAACAAATTGAACCAGTACTGGGTTCCTTCTTCATTACAAAGCATTATAGTTCCTGGGCTATATTATAGTTACTGGACTATTGTATATCTTCCTCCCCCCCCCTTTTTTTTATCGGATTGTACATTCCTTAAGTTTATGGAGTTGACATTTAGTATCTACGGAGTTTTAACTGAAATAGTATATATGCATGTAATTAAACAAAATTGTTTTCTGATATTAGGGGGAAAAGTAAAATTTAAAAATATACTAAAACTTAAAAACAAACATTCCCAGATCCAGGATGTGTACATGGCCCAATATGCAAAAAAACTGAAGAGAACAACACAGTCTATTATCTATGATGCTAACAAAAGAGGAGTGATGAATGAAATATCTCTGGTGCAATGTGAACATAAAAGAAAAGTTACTGAAGATAGACTGAACAATCTTCGTGTAAAACTGGCAGCATTGCTGCAGAAACTTCAGCTGGTGAGTGATGGGACTTTGAATAGTGGGAATATCCTTTGTGGAAAGAGCACTCAGCTAGATTCCTCTCCTAACAGTGTCTTCTATTTATTGACCTTGGACAAGTCACTAACCTCACCCTTACTCTACCTATAAGGATAGTGAAACGACAGATAAGGCAACTTTGAAAGTAGATACTAGAGCATTTTTGAAGGTCTATTATTCTCTCTCTCAACAAAATCAGAATCTTGTCTTGTACTGTTGCTACAGTTTGATTGCCCGCACATCTCCTCAATAGTATGTTTCTAGTAGGAAATTTTTTCAGAAAGCAAACTGTGTTCATTTATTTTTATCCTGATACATAAATAAAATTAGATTCTTCTAATCTTAGAGGATAGATTGGAGAGGTCAGGAAACACCATGTATATATGGACTATTGTCTATCTTGTTTGTGTGTATATTTCAATGCATAAAGAAAGGTGCTCAGTGAAGCAGCTGGAAGCTGGACAAATGATTAGCATCCTCACAGGAAAAACCCTTTCAGTTACTAGAAAGGCTACAGCTTAGGACCCACCGGACTTAAATGCTTATTTTCCTACATACATAAAGTGTTCTGTAAACTATTTCACCTTGTCAGTCTTCCATGTGAATTGTTAAAGTTGTAAATAAAAGAGTATAAGGTCTCCATTTTTACATTCATGTTTATTTCCTGGTAATGGCAACAACTGAAATTCACCATGGGCCTTTGTTGAAAATGTAACTACATGAAGATCATTGATTTTTGTAGAAAAATATTAAAACTATAAAAAAAATTTAAAAAAGAATTGGGCTCCTATGAGATTGAAAGTACATATTAGAACATTTTAAATGTTAGGTAACATTAAAAATTTTACCTTCTCTATTACACAGAAATGTTAGGTAAAACATATCAAAAATTAAAATATATATATAGCCAAGGGTGAAAAGTCTTTCTGTAAATGCTAGAAATGAACTGAGAAATCAACAGTGAGCACATGGCATTTTCCTCAGAAAGATCCCTAACCTGGGACAGAGACAGGGCCTTCCTGGGCTGTGCTGGGTGCGAGGGCAGGGGCTGAGTCTCCCTAGGAGCCCTGACAGGGAGGCCTGAGGCTTGTCTTGCCAGAAGGAGTTTGGGGAGGGACATGGACTTTGAAGGCAGACTGCCTGGGTTTCAGTCCTGGCTGTGAACATTTCAAGTGAATACTCCATTTCTTCTTAAAAACAAACAAACGGATTTTGTTTTCTCTGGGATTTTTGTCTTATATTGAATGCAAAACAAAATGCAGAAAATATTTTTGCTTAACTGAAGTATAGAGCCAAAAGAGAAGACTCCTCCCTGCCTTGTGTGGTCTAGGCAACAGTTAAAATGTTTCATTATCTACACTAATAAAAGAGAAACATGGTAATTGGCATACGACCGCTACCCTTCCCATTGGCTAATCAGCGAGATATGCAAATTAACTGGCAGCCAAGATGACGGCCGGCAGCCAGGCAGCTTGAAACTAACATGAGGCTTGCTGGCCTCAGTGATGGATGAAACCAACCTTCCCGGCCTGCCTTGAAGGCCTCTGAGCCTGCAGTTTAAGAAACTATGTAACAAATACCGCCTGACTTCAGCAAGCAGGATCGCAACATTGTATGCAAAGGCCATAAACCTACTTTCAGCAGCGGAGGCCTAAGAGCTGGAGCCAAGCCTCAAGCTAAAGCTGGCCCAGAATAAAAAAAAAAAAAAAAAGGAAAAAAGGAGGGG